TTTCATTTTTGATAGAACTCCAAGCCACTAAGACTTTTTTAATTAATAAAATTGAAAAAAACTCTCCATTTCATTGTTGCTTAGGTTCTAAAGATTGCAAAAATAGAGATTTTTTCAATTTTATTAATTAAAAAAAAAAAAGCCTTAGTGGTTTGAAGTTGTACAATTTTTTTGATGTTTTTAGATGACCTGCACAATAAAGACCTCCTATTGCTACGCCATATGGCCAAATTTCAAAAAATAGCAGTTTTAAAATAGGACTTCACATGATTTGTTTTAAAAATTATTTCATACTGCCAAATTTAGATATGATAGTCTAAATTTACGTAGCAATGATCATAGTGGAAAATTCCTTGAGAGCATAGTAGCATAGTAAAGCACATGTTTTAAAAAAGCATAGAACTCTACAACAAATATTTTTTTGAGAATATCTCATTATTACATTAAAACTGAAAACCTATTTTTTAAAAAGTAGGACACAAAGTGATTTCTATACTTTTAAAATTTGCCCAAATTCAGGAGGTCTTTAGACCAAGCCAACTATACAGTAAGTACAATTATAGATTCCACACAACCAACCCAAAAAAGGCATGTAAGTACAATTATCAATACCAAAAATGGTTTGTATTATACTCACTGCACAAAGTGTACTGTTCTCGATCTAACACAACCAAATTTAGACAATAGTCTCACTGCCAAATTCTTCAATATTTTGGAAAAATACCTCTAATAGTAGTGTTATAATTTTTGGATTCCATTTCATATGAGTTGGCTTCATATTTGTGTTTATATTTTCATAGTCCTCCAAATTTTGGATACAAAAATTAGTATTATGAATAATGAAATATAAACAAAGCTAATTGAAGTTAACAAAGAAATTTTTTGACTTCCTCCAATGTGATTACATCATTTCTAATAATACTGGCCATTATGTATATAATCCTTTGGAAAGGCGAAGAAATAATCTTAGTGATTATTTTGCTGCTTTGAAGTATGACTTAACTAATGAAACTGACTTATATAATTACACTAACAGATTGAAAACTTTCAAAAATCAAATATTGGTTTCAGATGAAGCATTAGAAGTATAGATTGAAGTAGGATTAAAAATAATAATGTTTATTATACATGCTGTCAAAATTAATTTGTCTTTGATTCAATATGACTTGTCAAAAAGTCACCTGATTGAATCAAGTGATCAACTTATTGTATCTCTTAAACCGTACAAGTCACAAATTTGTGACTTATGATATTATTAATAAATAAGACTTTTGGCATGTGAATACAGTTTATGGAATAATGTTTATCATCTATGTAAGGAATCAAAATCCATCCAACTAATGTTGAACAAGAAAGAGCAAAGTGAAAGTAAAAGAAAATAAAGAAAAAATTCCAAGGAACATTTGTTGAATTGAATGAAGCAGATGAACATATTAAAATCTCAGAAATAAAATTGGAAGATTAATCAATGAAGAGACAATAGATATTATTGGCAATTAATATTGCTCTGCTCATTCATCAAATGAGGAAGGAAGTAGGAGACTCTATGGATTATTTAACGAAATTCTAGCATTAAAATGAGAGGTTAATCAATGGAATGAGTTATTGAAATAGGAGAACAAATATATGAGAAAGAAGTCAATCAATGAATGATAATCAATTACAAGAATTAACCACCTAGAAAGACCAACCAAGATAACGAATTAGCAAACTCAATTTTTTCATCAGTCTTTAAAGAAGCAATTGAACTCTTTCAGAAACTGTTCATAATCCACAAAAGCCAAAATAAAAAATTAGTGCAAAAGTTTTGATAAAGAATTAAACGAGAAAAAAATTATAATATCAATTCTTTAAAAGCAAAACTAGTAAATAGGATTAGCAAAGATACTTTAACTCTGCTCACCAGAATATTAATAATCTGCCAAATGAAACAAATGGCCTCCAAACCACCGATCAAAGTCTCCATCCCACCAAGTCCAACAAAACCAAACAACAAGTTCACCAACGAATTTAGTGCTATAAAAAGAACAATTTACGAATACTGATATTCATAAAAAAAGGCTGGGCAAGAAAGAGATAATTTAGATACAAAAGGTGTCACTATAGAGAAAGTAATTGAAACAATTCAGTAACCTACGAGGATAAATAATTTACAAAATGCTTTTCAACAACAATTCTTCCGTTACCAAATCAAACAAAAGAGACAAGACCTGATTTGACCCAAATTCAAGAAAACATTCACAAGAAAAGGAATATTTATTAGAAGCGATCAAGCAGAAAATTCTCCAAGAAATGAGATATATTCTCCTGATCTAAAAAAAAAAGTTACTCAAGCATCATCCACTATTGTGTAAATTGTCAATGTTCATCAGAAGTTGAATCCAGCAAAATATTCTCTGAGCTCATTAAACCGAAAGAACGTTTAATTATTAACACAAAAAAGAAAGAGCAATTTCAATTAGTTTATTAATTAGCTTACTGATGCTAAGTTTGCTAACAATTGAAGGACTAATTTTATGTTCATACGCATTCGTAGTCCTATATATATTAATAAAATATTTATTTATTTATCATAGTTTGCAAAATACAGTTATTAAAAGAAGTAATAAACTATATACTAAGTTTGTTTCGTAACAAGTCCTGTATCAGAAAACAGTCTTTCAGAAGCAACAGACGAAGAAATATTTTTCGACTGAAAAAGTATTGAAAATCTTTTTTCATTGCCACACCACCACTTTAACGGCTTGTTTTCCTCTATAGGAAGCGGTTGAGATGTACTTCAAATCCATCCAATTCAATTATTTCTTTTGCTGATACAGAAAAAAAAAGATATCGTCGCAGAATTTTTTCTAATTACATGATCAGGCGTGTAAAAAAATTAGATGTATAATATTTTATATCTTCATATATAATCTTAAGTTCTGTCAAAGTATTCCTTACTTTATAATTATGGTTAACCAATTATTACACATTAAAAAAAAAAAAACAAAATACAGGTAATAAAACTTTTAAATTTATAAATATAAGGCAAATTCTGATTTTTGAATCTCGAGTTCAAAAATGATGAAAATATAAGAGCACCATTAGGTGAAGCTCTAAATTTTTATTGCCTCAGAAATTTGATTATTTAAGTTTTTTATTAATTCATGCATTGTATATCAAACCTGCAGTACAATAATTAGACCCACCTACTACTTTTGTTATCTCATAAAGAGATAATTTTCAGGTAATTGTGTAATTAATTCCCATTAAGATATAATTCGGATAAACGTACTGTATACCTTCTCGTCTAACACCAAGTAGTTTAACGCCATTCCACCTTGTGTTGTTTGCTTGAATAACATCAAAGATCAAATCATATCACCAATCTTGTCCTTGTGATTTCTATTTCTAATGTCCATTTGGTGATGCTTTTGCATCTTGTTTTCCAAATTTTTTCATTTCCAAATTATTTTTTATATAGATAGATTGCTGGATAATTTCCTTGTTATATTCTTTGGTATTTTATGTTCTTCTAAGCATGTTCTATTTCAATTGGTACAAACCCTCTTAGTAATACCAAAGTTATTTGGTAAATCTAACATTTATTTTAAGGCTTTGTAATCAATCTTTCTTCTTTTTTTATATTGTTATTGCAGTATTGTTTTTTCCTCATCATTGATTGAACTTCAGTGTTACATACTAATTGCACAGATAATAATAATAATAAATTAGTGGATACAATGTGAATGGGTGCGGATGATCCTAACTTCAAACCGGTTTTATACCAGTTGACGCATAATAATAATAAGTTCAAAACAAATAAACAGATCTTTAAAAAAAAAAAGAACTAAAGAAGGTTCTTCGATTGATAATAAAATTAAAATTAAAATGTGAAACGGACCCATTCATATGTCTTCCTAAAGTATCAGAAAATGAATTTTCCAACTGGACTAATGAAAATTCGCTAATTACAATTGACAAATTTTTCAAAAAGCACGACGTTTATTATCTTACATTCAGTATAACATATATAGTTTTTTTCACCAAAACAAAATATATTGATAAAAGAGAGTTTTGAACAGTGTTTTCAGAAAAATGGAATGAAGGAATAAAGTGTTACAAAGATAAATCTTAACTTTCGATCCGGCCCTGTGCTGTTTATTCTGAGGATAAAAAAGATGCAAAACAATTTTTTTTCATTGAGATGCAGATTTAATTGTTGTTATTTGTATGGAGTACCCAATATCCTTTGACGTTGGAGTACATGCTTGTGGAACCGCATAGATTGTCTCCCCAAAGTATTAGCAATTGAGTTTGCCAACTGGACCAGTGGAAATTTATTGAGAAGCACAATGTTATCATCTTACATTCAGTATCCTGAATGTAATTCCTTTACTGAAATAAAATATATCAATAAAGGAGGACTTGTTACAGCTTATTTTGCAAAATGTGACAAAAAATAAAATGTTTATCTGTGATAAATAGATGAAAGTAAATATCATATCACGGCCTGAAATTAAAACAATACAATTTTTTTCTTAAAAAGGTATAGGTTACGCCAAATGTTAATTTCCTTTAAACGTATATTTATAGCCAATATTAATTCATCTTATTTAAAGATTCGAGATCAATCTAATTGTTGTCATTTGTATGGAGTTACCCAAGATATTTCGACCTTGGAATAACATGTTTATGCGCGCCACAAGGGATCTTCGATAATTCCTGCGGGAAAAATCGATAAACTAACCTTGTTAATTAAAAAATTCGTGCCAAAGGGTGGGAAGGAGTACATGGTGACCTTCATTGTAGAAATATACAGTCAGACTCCTATATAGTCACATCCTATATAGTCACAACATAGTTTAGTCACATTTTTTTGTTAATTTGAAAAATTCCCTGCTACTAATTAATCATAGTAAAAACATGTCCTGTATAGTCACAAACACTATAGTCACCAAAATTCTTGAAATTTCATTTCAGTTTTGGGATATGTTGGCTGATAAATGAAATATGGAGTCATGCCAAGTCTTGGACTAGAGACACTTCGCTTTCAACCATCATATTTCCAAGTAGGAGACATTTATAGCCTAGGAATTATTTTATGGGAATTGGTTTGTGAAATTCTAGCATTTTCAAACAAAACACATGATGCACACCTAATAATAGAAGTCTTCGACTGAAGACATGTAAATTTGTTTTTATAACTTACTGAAAAGACCAAAAATCGATATGGTAATAGAATTTATTCAAAAATTGTGTGCAAGAATCGAGATATCTGAATGAATCAAGTGAATTAATGAATTCACATTATACTACTATGAACTACATCATTATGAAATTGGAACCACACATTCCTGTTCCCTCACATGCAATTTATAAAAGTCGTTTGATATTACTGATGGAACCAATTATGAGAATCTTCAAAATAAAATGGATCGTGGATATGACTCATGAAATATATGAGATACCGTGAGTTGGTACATGGAATTGTAATAATGCGGGTTGAGGTGGGAGATAGCGTTGGCCGCCAAAACTATTTTGAAAAGGCGAAAGTCAAAACTAAAATTAAAAGTTATGACAATACTAAATCAAAAGTTAATAGTCAAAAATTAAAACTAGTTTCGACTTCGTACAGTTGCGAAACTCTCTAGTTTCGGAAAACAACACTAGTGGGAGCTATATAAAATGGCAAATAAGAAAAGATAATCAATATGCATCAAAAATAGTAAAGTCATATCTATTAATTGTATCATACTAATTTTTCGCCTAATTAACTAATTAACAGTATTTGTTTAATATCAATTACTTTGAGGAATGTTCTAAATTTTTTGATACTATTTTCGTTCAATATTGGTATTTTTGGCTATAATAGCTGGACAATAAATATCAGAATTTTCCATGTTTTTTTGATATGGATGCAACTTTATTATCTACCAAACGTATAAAAGCATATATACATTTCCAATAATTTCTTTGGCCATATTTCCATCACAGAACTCAGGAAGGAGTAGATAGGTCATTTCTTCCGTATCTATTTACGGCAAATGGTAGCTACCAACAGCTATTTACGACAATGGTAGCCACAAGTCCAATTATTTACGGAAAGTGTCTTTAATGGTGGCCGAAACTATCTTACTTAGTGGGCCGAAATTGCTGAAATTAACTTGTACGAAACTAATTTTAACGGCTGAAATTGGGCAAAGTTTTTTAAAATAAAATAGATTGATTTAGATATTTATTCATCAGGAAATTTTTCGCTGTAATAACACATTTGTAAGTTTTAATATGGAATGTTGTAATTTTTCCATAAAAATTATATAATATTTGCACTGAATGTATAATTTTTTCCTGATGTTATATATTGGATGAAATTACTTTTTTTTTCAAAAATAATTTCGTCAACCACCACTAAATAATATCTTTTATCAATTAAATTTAAAATAAGCACAATCTTGGTTTAGCAGATAGTTTGAGTAATTAGAAAATTTTTCCAAAATTTGTTATTATCCTTCTTGGATTAGTCAAGCAGAAGAGAATATCAAGGCGACACACAATCAGTAAACATAATCCTTATATAATTGTTTTTTTATTGAATCACAATGTTTACAATAATGTCAAATTTAAGTAATGATAAAATGTTCTGGATTACAGTACAAGATGTGGGAAGGGTAAAAAATAAATTAGATATATTAGATGTGAGAAAATTGGGATATGGCCACCCAGCATGTTCCTGGAAATTTGGACTATGGATCTGAACCTATAATTATGTTATTGCCAGAACTTTGTAATATATTTCAGGTAATGACAAAATAATTTATCTGAGCTTGAACATGCTTTTTCTTATTTATTGCTTTTCTTGTAGGAGGGAGCTGATAAATTTATAATAAAAAAAGATTAAAGGTTAATATTAAACAATCTTTGTGAAAAATTTACTCTTGAGGAAGAGAGTCATATTCTTATGGAAGGGACAATGTTATCACCTCATATAGTAGTGTGAGATCGTAAATTGCAGACCAACCAATTGTCCCAGATAATGTTGACCAATTAGAACAAACTAAAACAGTATTCATGTGATGTATATACTATATACAAATATGATCAACGATATATTTATTGTAACGGTTACTGCATATCGTGTAATATTATACTGTATATCTTTAAAATTTCGGAATGATCTTCCCTTGTGATTTTCTAAAAGGTTGATGATTGGCTTAAAAATTTTTAGTGATACAGAAAATCTTTCTAATAAAAGAAATCTAATTACTTAAATTAGAAAATCTTCTAAAATTTTAAATTTCAGACTGTGACATTTATAGATGACTTGAACCATATTCCTACTTATATATTATTGTATTACTCATTTGACATAAATATTTACTTAGCATCAGTAATCATTAATTAGTAAGCAAGTAATACAAAAAGTATCAATAATAAGCATATTTTATTGGACAAAATACTGTAAGTCATGCTATTTGCAATACCCCAAGAGGTAGGTATATAAACTTGGGTTTAGACCAAGTTAGAAGGATCATGTTCATAATAATCTATAACAATCTAATAATAAACCCTCTCCCCGTAATTAATAATTAAATAAATACATTTTACCTTATTATGGATTTTTGCATAGTTAAAGAGGATGAATAAGGTTTCTGGTCCAAACTATTTTCTCAAAGCCCAAAATAGTTTGGGCAATTTGGGCTTCTCAACATTTTTTATAAGCATGAACATTAAAAAACTATATGAATAATTTCGCCCAATTTCAGCTAATAACAAAAAGTAGTTTGGGTTTATAAAAAAAAATTTTTTGCCTAAAGTATTTGGGCAATTTTGGCTACCAATAGAAGCAGTTTCGGCCAGAAACCTTAATCATGAATTGTTCCATGATTCTTTCTGATGATTATTGGTTTGATCAGCCTTTAATAATTAGTTAGGAATACCTTTAATATCTTCATGTTGCTTGTAGGGATGCCTCAAGTGGTATAGTTGTAAATATTTATTTTTTATTATTCTTTTTGGGCTGTGTGCCTGTGATACTAAGGGAACTGTATCGGATTTGGGCTGTGTCTGTAGCACTAGAGTAATTGCACTGTTAGAACTCCTAGCTGTGTGCAGAGTGGAGAACTTCATAATTACTGGACTTCCACATATTTATTACTATATATTTTATCAGACACCCCTTGATTTTGTAATAAGAAATTACATGCTCACAGTAGCTTCTGAAGAGTGGATAGATTCATCAGAAAAGTTAGAAATAATTACAATGCAAATTTTCAAAGTTCTGTAAGTGATTTTACCCATTATTTCATTATCATGCTACATTTGTAGAATTAATCAATTAAGCTTAATTCGTAATCTGTGAAACAACTGCAAAAATTTGCCGATCATTAATATGTTTTTGTGGCGATAATAAACATTATAATTTTCAGGAGTTTTGAGAATCTGACAATACCTCACGTGACCAACGTGAGTCAAGAAAATTACATGACCACAATAATTTTTATTTTTTTTTAAAAAGAGTAACTATTAAAAACTAAATAGAAATAACATATTCATATTTTCTTGGATAAAATTAATTCTACAACCATTTTTACATCATAAATATTTTTAGTTGCTTACTCAAACCTTTAAATTTATATAGTAATTTTAGGCAGGAATCCAGTGATTCCTACATATAAACATAAAATATTTTATAAGAAATTCCCTTTGAAAATTTGTATATTTAAACTTCGAGGTTCATATCATGTGTTAAAAGTACGATTTTAGTTTATATCAACATAAAGGGTGGTTACGTTGGGGATGAAAGTTGGAGTTCAGAAAATTTTAATTAGTGATCTGCAAAATTTTGTGCCAGATTCTGTTATGAAAATTTTGCAGATGTTTCACAGATCATGAATTAAACTATTTCATAGGTTTGTCATATGATTGCTTCCAACTTTTTAAATTCGAACCATTTGTTAACAAAACAACTGTTGGTGAAGTGATTGTTGACAAAATGAATCAATCAACATTTATTTTTACATTATCAATTTCACGATTTTGATTGGCCCAATCAGCAATTGCATGGGTTAAAATTTTGTTACCTGTTATTGTTCCTTCACTCAAACAAATAATTGTCCACAATACAACATTATTTGGAATGTAATTGTTTTTTATGTGTCAATACTCAATAAACAAACATTCTGATCTTGGATAATTCTTGTTGTCTTTAATAGAAATAATCAATAAAGAATTAATATAAACCTTGAAAAATTGAAAAACGAAAATTGGGTTATTTAAAGGACAACTTCATTGTCATCAAACTCTAGTGATGATTTTTTTTGATTCAACAATAAAAGAATTTCAGTATTCTATTTTTAAAACTTACAAATTCTGCACTAAAACCTGTCCTATGTGCTACATAAAAGTCATTCTATGTTGTTTCAAAGTCAGATACTCATTGCATTTTTGTTTTATTAATAATATTATTGTGTATTACTATTATGCATCATTAACTTCTAATCAAAATTCGAAAAAAAATCAAGTTAACACAACTCATGTGTATGTAAAAGTTGCTCTACTATTAATCAGAATTCCGTATGATATATGGGGCATGCTGTAACAAAACCAAACAAAGTGAACATTGGTATTACCAAAAATTTCAGGGATCAAAATTTAGTTATTATCATAATTAGTTTTATAATGTCCCATCTGTCAAGTGATATATAGAATTACCTCTATATATATATAAAAATAGTTAATATGAAGTTAATTTACGTTAGGTCTACCATGGAACCTAAGAATTATAGTATTATCAGAAGTATTTTGAAAAAGGAACAAGGTGAAAAAATTGCACCTTATATCTTCAAAATAAATGAAACTTACACACTTGAAACTTATCTAAGAAAAGAAAGTATTACTTATGAAATTTACCAAGAAGAAAGGAAAATAATAAGCAATAAATGAACCTTAACATCAGCTCATGATGAACCAAGAAAGAAAAGAAGACTGGCAGAATAAACAATCAAATCATTATTAATCATCATATTCATTATCCTCTTCTTCTAGTTCATCTGGGGAGTTTCATCATTGAGCAAGGAGTTTTCTTTTTCAAATCGCTCAAATAGTTCCGGCGAATAATAAGAGTAAGCCCAGTCCACTTAGTCAAGCGGCAGGGTTATTAGTTCTTCAGAATCCTTCCTTAGAAGTAGGTTGGCTTTCAGTAGCTTTTTGTTTAGCATAACTATGGTTAATTCCGGCAAGTTTTTCGAAATAGTATTTTTTAATTCCGGCTTCAGTTGGACTAGCTCCATCCCCGTAGAGGTTCCAATCTAAGCTTTTAGCTTGGTCCGCTGGATTCCGATCAGCTTTCATTTCAGTTTCAATTTCTCCTTTCTTAGCACTGTCATGTTTAATGTGATAAGTTGCGGAGAAAGTAATGACATGTTGAGGAGGCAAAGTGAAGAAATATTCTTCTT